AAGTTTAAGGAAATGTTATTGTTGGATCGTTATATTGGAGCATAAGGGAAAATGAGTGTGGGGTTTGGTTTGAAGTAAGTTTCACTATCCAAATTTTCAAGTAAGTTTGAGAAAGTGCAGAGTAGTACTTCCCGTATGGTACATGGTTTTGGAAGTTTTTCATTTATTTAATCGTCGTTTTTGCTTTAAAACGTTATTATTAAGCTTTGGTATCATAGACGATAGTCTTTGATTAAATTGATTTTTGTAAGACGTTTGGATTCGATCTTTGGGAATAAAATTGCATAGGACTTTAAGTGTTCCTTGTGTGTTAAGTCAATGCAATGACAATGCCGTTTCTGTTAAGTAAAAGCGGGTTGTCTCATAGATCGTCAAGTAGCTCCTCAGGTGGGTCCGTTTATAAGGAATGACGAATCTCGGCTTAATGCATGTTTATAAGGAATGACGAATCTCGGCTTAATGCATGTTTAAAACAAATATCAATCTCGGCTTATTGGCCCTATCAGCGATTTCCCATGTGAGATTATTTTAGATTCCTTAAAAATGAAACTCTGACATTTCCCTCCCATTTTTCTCGGATCCCATGTGAAGGCCATCCAAATTACATTTTAGTAACTCCCAAAATTTTAAAACATCATCATTGACACAGGGATTCGGATGATGGGCAATGAAAACGTGACCACAAGGTTATAACGCAGAGTAGAGAAAAGAGATTTAAAAACATACATCAAAACATAACGAACAAAACAAAACAGAGTAGAGATTTGGTCCTAAGACTCTCCCTCGACTTCGCAACAGCGGTCGTCTATCTCCTAAGACCAAACTCTTTGTCTTTCCCCTGCTTTTGTTTCACAACCACATTACTGTTTCTCGCAGACCTACAAAACACAACTTGCATATGTTAGGGCTACTAGTGGAGTAGTCGTCCCTTGGCTCACTATTTTCCAAATCTTTGGGGAGATCACTTTCTCTCAGTTCCACTCAACGACTCGGTGAGTACCTAGATAAATATTTTGATCCAAAATTCCAAGGTAAATATATGTGTTTCATTCATCATCAGCCATTTGCTGCGGGATATGATTCTTGACTTGAGCACTTATATCTTTGCTAATATGTTTTCTAACAAAACCAGTTTATTTCAAGTTATAAATTTGCTGTATATCATCATTTGTATAACATACCATAAATTCCTCACTTTGACAAAAATAAATCGAATTAATAGAGTTTTTTAGTTAAAAATAATATTTATAATATAATATTTAAATTTATTGTTTCTCAACATTAGTTTTTTTTTTGTAATTTTTATCGATTTTTTAAAAACTTTTTTATGGGATTTTCTTAAATTTAAATTATTTTTAATTTAAATATTAAAATTTTATCATTAAAAAAATAAAAAGTTAACGGAGATTATCGGGTTACCTTTCATGAAATTTTCCAAAAAAAAATATATTTTTTTCCTTTTATTTATAAAGAGAGACCCTAGAGATTTTCTACTTTAGAAAACCTAATCGTTAGAAAGAAGTCACAAACCAAAGTTGCAAAGCTTCGTGATCGTCTCTAACCCTGATTCAAGATTCTTCGTGCTTCCCTCTCCAGCTCGTTGATTCTTGATTTGATCCTAAAGTCTATCAGATGTTTTCCAAACTTAGGGTAGAGAAGAAGGAGCCATCGCCGAAGCCACCTCGGTCTCTGCACACGTCACTTCCATTAGTTCCATATGACACCATCGTTGATATCATAGCACGTACATTACTATCCGACTATCTCCCTCGTTTCCAAGAGTTTCCGGTCACTAGTTGCATCGCCTGAGCTATACACGAGACGATCTTTGTTAGGCTGCACCGAACACTGTCTCTATGTCGTCCTCTCTAACCGTTTGTATGAATTCCGCCGCAAAGCCAACAGCAAAAACCCTCGCTTGGTCGCTGTCGGGTCGCTTCCTCTTATGCCTTGCCATGCGAGTTACGTAGCGGAAGGTTCAAAGATATATGTAGTGGGTGGATTATACGATCAGGACATTAAGTTGATCGACTGTATATCTCACACGGTGCAAACCATCTCAAGAATTCCTAATCTCATGTCTGAAGAGGTCGCTAGCATCATCGGTGGGAAAATTTACATAATCGGAAATTGTTTGTGTGATGACATGGTGAGTTGGAGTGGGAGAGTCTTGGTGTTTGATACAGTGACTCAAATGTGGGAGCCTGTGATGACAAAGCCAGACTCGGTGTCTGGCCTCATGTTTGATGATGTGGTGATGGAGGATAAGATTTACTTGACAAATATTGAGAGTAGCTTCGTTTATAGGCCGAAGGAAAACAAATGGAAATTGGACAAGAAGCTGGATTCTAAAGTATGGGAGGGTGCTTGTGTAGTCGACGACGTATTGTATTATTACGATGTTCACCACAAGGGCAAGTTAAGAGCGTATGATCCAAAACAGAGGCGTTGGAGAATAGTGAAAGGTTTAGAAGATTTGGTGCTTCAGACGGCCACTTCAAAGTGGTCGAGAACGGTTATTACGGTGGGAAGTTGGCTCTGTTCTACCCTAAAGAACGTAAAGAACCATGCAGGAAGAGAACAGGAAATATCAAGTGGGCCTGGGAGACAACAGTAGAGCTGTGGTGTGCAGAGATTGCTTTGGAGAGACACCAAGGAGGAGAGATTTGGGGTAAAGTGCAATGGTGTGATGTTGTGATTGATGATGAGAAGTTTTCCAGCGAGAACTATGTGAAATGTTTAGCTGTTACGATTTGATTCAGACCACTCTCTAAATACCATCCCAACGTTGTAATTATGAGTGGAGCTAAACTCTTTTGGTTTGTTTTTAGGTCACATAACATATATTAGCTTTAATTATTCAAAATATTTAGAGCATGCAATTTCCTTTGTGAACAAGGCGTATCTTACTAGCTAGCTAAGCCATGTTGGCCTGGGTATTTGGTTTTAAGTTTATTCGTTTTTGGTTTAAAACTTTGTTTATGTTTTCTTCTTAAATCGCTGCCTTGAAGTTTACTTGAAGTGTTGTGTTGAGTCAGTCGTATTATAAGGTTAAAACCAAAACGTTTATATATACCACAATTTTCTCCTCACCACGCCATTTTCTTGTGGTTTTTGAAACCGCCTTGCTCAAGTTTAGGAAAGTCTCAACTACAAACTTTGGGTTATCAACGATGTTGATGGAAACAAAAAAGATACACTTTTGCAGGTGAAAGAACATTTGATCCGAGCTCAACACTTAATGAAGAAAATCAGCGGATCCTTAAGTACTTTAAGCTAATGAATGAAGACTCAAAAACATATTTCTTGTGACTTCTTTGAACAAAGGAAGCTTTCAGTTGACTCGGTGGTTTTGTTGACCTCTATAGGGCACTAAGAGTATTACATATGGTTTCAGCTGTAACATGCAAATGTTCACCAGCAAAGCTAAACCACAGAACGAGCTTAATTACTGCATTAAGTTAAGCATTCCATTGGTTCCTAACACAAAACTTACAACAAATATATGATTATCAAGATTAAAAACCTAATACTTGTAAACATGATCACTAATGTTTTCTTAATTTAATTTTAAAATGATTCAAAACTCCTTCCTAACTCCTAAATTAAAAAAGGAATCCAAACATAACGTTTTAATTTTTTTTTTTGTAATTTATTTATTTAAGGTAAGCAAGTAGTTTCACACGATAGTTTGTGCTATTTTAAAAAAAAAAAATCTCTGTGCGCTAAGTTTGGAAAAAAAATTAATTTTTATGCTATTCAGAGAAGTTCTTGATGACAAAAAATAATGAGAAAAAGAGTAATTCTCAAATTTTATATTTAACCAAAAATTTATACAGAAAATAATGATACTATCATATTTATTTAATTGTAAAGTGCACCCTGAGAATTCAGGTGATTGCAATTAAGTACCAATAACTTTTTGTTCTTAAAATTAAGTCCTGACATCCTAAAAAGTGGTAGGCATCATCGGGAGAAAGTTCGCTGGATTTTGGAAGCTTCGCATACAAACGCAAATCCGATCCAATCGATGGTTTCGTTGAGGAGATTTTTGTTATCCCCGTTTTTCGGGGTCACGTTGATCGTCGTTCTCGTCGCTTTCTTCTTCAGATCTTCCCTCAGGTCTCCACAACACCAAGTACCCACTTTTGTCCTCTTAACTATCTCCTTTTGCTTACTCTCTACACTGGAAATCTCTCATATGAAGTATTTTCAAACCAATGAAGTTTGTGTACTTTTTGATTGAATTGGTCCTGGAATACCCATAAAGCTTGTCTCTGTTGTTGTAATGTTCCTGTGATATGGGTCTGAGTTTAATCACAATTGAAATAAAAGAACCAATTTTTATGATGTGTCAATGTCTGAATTCGTTTAGAGCCTCCATTTCTGATAGTATTTTGTTTTTGTGTTTTTCTTTTGCTCTCAATATCACAAGAGACTCTTTTCTGCTGAGGAATTGGCATTGTACAATGGCACTGATGAAACGTTACCTATACTCTTAGGGATTCTTGGGTAAGTCTTCTCTTAATGTCTGTTCAAGTCTTGGAAAGTACACTTGTGTAAACGAGTATCTTTGCATATGCTATACAGATCTGTGTTTGACGTGACAAAAGGAAAATCACATTACGGTAGTGGAGGAGGTTACAACCATTTTGCTGGAAGGTTTGTTTTTTTTTTTTTTCGATCAAATTATTTAAAGAGATTCTCATATATTCTTCTAGCTCCTTGTGTTAGTTTTCTTGCTGATGGAAAGTTTTCTTCATGTAATTCTTTCGCTCAGAGACGCTTCTCGTGCATTTGTTTCCGGGAACTTTACAGGTACGAATTGTTTTCCGTAGTTTTCTCTGTTAATGAAAAAGTTTCATCATCTTTTCTAGGAAATGATCACCATACTTTCTTGATCCAACAAAATATTATGGTTTGACATGATAATCCCGAGAAAAGAAAAAGAAATCTAATCTCTTCCCTTGCCAATGTTATGCGGATATTTTCCTATTTCCATGGTCTTCCTCCCATTTCAATGTTAACATCCATTAAGAAGTCATAATCATTCAAACTTTGTTAGCTATTTGCAGAGGATTATACAGTAAGACCGTGAAATCTGTTGAAACTTCTCACATGTGTGCTATGATTCCTTTCTCGTGCAGGTGATGGACTTACAGATTCGTTACGTGGGTTATCTAGCAGTGAGGTAATGCTCTTCTATCTTTACGTAGTTCATTAAAAAGTATAAAGTGGTCTTTGATCTTGTCACTGTACCAGATGGGCTTAATATCTTCATAGCTACCACTTTCTAAGATATTAGATTTACTAAATGTTTCATATTCTACAAACCCGGCTGTATCTCTAGTTAGCTCAGTGAACTCATCTCTGGTACAACCGTTACTTGTGTGATAAATTCTTCTTCGTAGGTGAAGAGCATTGTCGACTGGCGAGGTTTCTACTCCAGGACATACACGTAAGCTATGTGTTTCATTCTGACAAAAAAAAAAGCTGATGCTTAGTAAGAATTCGGACAATAAGGTCAAGTTGGTTTGGTCCTTTAAGCTTTTAATTTTTGTGACCACAGTCCTGTTGGGAAGCTTATTGGACGGTACTACGATAGCCAAGGGAATCCAACTAAACATCTGAAAGGAGCTGAAGCAAAAGCCTCGAGAGGTGCACAACTCATGGAGAAACAAAAGACTGAAGAAGACAAGCAAACGAATTGCAACTCACGATGGAGTCAAGATGAAGGTGGAGAGGTATGAGCGACACTTGTTATCTTCTTATCAATTCGGTTTAAAGGAGTAGAATGAGAATGTGTTGGTGAATCTTTGATGGCATCTAAGAGCATAGGATACTAAAAGATAAAGCTATTTTTTGCAAGGTTTGGTGTGATGTTGGTGTGCCGAGATTGGTACAGAGACCTTTGGAGATAGCAATAACTGGTTCGATGAGCAAACGTTGCGCTTGCTTTGAGGAAGACCAACTTGATCAGTCTGGTTTGGAGATCTATAAAGGCTGTGAACCTCTTGCCAAGACTTGCAAAGTGTGAATTTTGATCACGAGACTTTGTCTTAACAAGTTTGCAATAGCTAGTTTCTTCTTCCGTGAGCCTTTGTATTCTTGTATAGTACCACCATAGAAGTCTTTTTGTATGGATGTATCACGTGTAGTTTATGTGTAATTAAGCTAAATGGCAAACAGTTTTAATAATTTTACGTGTACTTTCGTTACACACCGTGCCGTTTTGCTTTTGCGTCAATAGATTGCCTGTCATGTAAAGAGGAGAGTGGGCGCTTCTTTGTTGAAAATTTTGGCGCTTGCTTCTTCAGGGTTACGAAAATTTTGAAAACAAAAATTCTTCAATCGGAGAATCAATCAGCGAATTGGGGAGTAAGATCCATCGTCGGCGATCTAAAATCACAGTCACCGGAGAAAATGGTGTTTCTCTCTCGCAAAAAGCCTCCACCGCCCCCGTCGTCGTCTTCAGCTGCTCCGCCTCCCAAATTTCCGGAGCCGCAAAAGGAATCCGTCGAACCCGACCCGGTGGAGAAGATGACTGCGATTCTGGCGGAAGCTGGATGCACACTGATGAACCCGTACGGTCCGCCGTGTCTCCCCTCCGATCTCCACGCTTTCCGCCGCCATCTCACTGGCCGCTTTTCGTCTTGCTCCGCCAATTCCGGCGAGAGAGATAACGTCGATGCTCTTCGCTCAGTTTTCATATCTGGATTTTCGACATACATTCAATCTCCGAGTAATCTTCGTAGGTCAGTGTTTCCAATCGATTTGCTAAATCAAATCTGATATATTTCACTCTGTACGTAACTTGCTTGTTTCATATCTCTTGTAGAGTGCTTTCCTCTTCTTCATCAACTAAGAGAAACGAGACTTTAGTTCGAAATCTCCTGCTTGTATCTCCTATTCAACTTGACCTTCAGGAAATGCTACTCGAGAAGCTTCCTGAGTACTTCGACGTTGTTACAGTATTTTCCCTGGAGGAGGATGTTGCTCGCCTCATCATCAACCATTTCCGTTGGCTTGACTTCATTGTTAACCCCGATGTGTTCACCGATAAGCTGATGCAAGTTCTTTCGATTTGTCCTCTGCACTTGAAGAAGGAAATCATTGGATCGTTGCCAGAGATTATTGGGGATCACAACTCTCCGGCTGTTGTTGATTCACTAGAAAAGATGCTTCAGGAGGATTCTGCTGTTGTTGTTCCAGTGCTTGATTCTTTCTCCAACCTCAATTTAGATGATCAATTGCAGGAACAGGTGAGAGGTTCTGCTTCATCATTGATTTAGGGTTCTGCATTTTACATGTTACTGATGTAATGCCATTTGTTGTTTCTGTCTTGAAGGCGATTACAGTAGCAATATCATGTATTAGAACAATCGATGCAGAGCACATGCCGTATCTACTTAAGTTTCTGCTTCTTGCTGCTACTCCAACAAATGTTAGAAGAATAATCTCCCAGATACGCGAGCAGTTGAAATTCACCGGAATGGCACAACCTTTGGCTTCTCAAAATAAACTCAAAGGAAAAGTACCTGCATATAATGCAGAAGGGTCTATTCTCCATGCTTTAAGATCAAGCCTTCGATTTAAGAATGTAAGTTGGTTTTTATTGTAGTGTTTAAGAGTGTTTGTCGTTATCTGTCATCACTTTACTTTCTGTTTATAGATACTCTGTCAGGAAATCATAAAGGAGCTGAACAGTCTGGAGAAACCTCGGGATTTTAAGGTAATCGATGTATGGTTGCTTATTCTCATGTACATGAATGGGGATCCCATCCGGAAGAGCATCGAGAAGATATTTAAGAAGAAAGTGGTTGATGGATGCATACAAGAAGCCTTGCTTGATCAATGTATATGTGGTAATAAAGAGTTTGTGCAGGTGATCTTCATAACAATATTGAAAAGTAAATGATACCTGCAAAATTTGGGAAAATTCTTTTGCAAACTTAACTCGGCTCACTCATTTCTAGGATAATTTTGCATCATTTGTTTCTTTGGCTGAACACCTCATGTCATGCAAAGAAGAAAAAGCAAGGGAAACTGGCTCTCATATCTATACTCGTCTTTTTGAAGGGTTTTCTGACAATTATTCAAGACAAGAGGTAGGAATATGCTAACATTTCATGTCCTAGTATATAATAACTTATAGGATAAGTAGTCCACTTTTTTTCTAAGTCGAATTGGTCGCAGATACTAGGTGCCCTAGTGACACATGTGGGATCTGATAACAAATTGGAGGTCAGTTCAGTCCTAGAGATGATGACGGTTCTGGCGAAAAAATATGCACAGCAACTCCTTCCCTTTTCTTCCCACATAAATGGTATTTCTGGAACTTGTTTGTATACTAATGCTGATCCTGCGGTTTTCTTTTTATAATTTCTGATTGTTTTGTGTCATATAGGTATTTTGGACTACTTAGAGGGATTTACTGTTGAAGATTTGCATAAGGTGGGCATTAATCTTTATAATATTTTGGTATGACAGTATATTTATATTGTATATAAAAGTAAACACGATTGCAGGTCTATGAGGTTTTCAGTCTTCTCGCACTATCAGCTCGTGCAAGTCCTGATTCTTTTCGATCTTCAGTTTCAAATGAGCTTATGATGATAGTAAGGAAGCAGGTAATGTAAATTATCTCGCCTTATATCTTAAGGTACATTAGGTGATGGCAACTCGCTTCCAATTGTCTCGGTTTTATATCGACAGGTCAGTCATCCAGACCTCAAGTACAAAAAGATGGGCTTAGTTGGAACTCTAAGGATTGTTTCGTCACTTGGGGATGCGAACAGTGTTCCTGACTGTTCATCATCTCAGGTAACATCCAGAAATTCTTAGGAATTGATTGAATTTATCTTCCGACTTTGAATTCCAAGAGGAACTCTTGTTGAGTTGTTGCATTTTCTACTCATATCCGTCAAATTGTCATTTAGCAGGTTTCAGATTGTGGGGAAATTTTGGAGCTCTTAAAGACATCTGTAGACTCTTGCAGACAGTCTAACTTAGCCCAAATTATCTTCTATGATGAATTCACGACAATTCTCAGCCATAAATTACTTCAGCCAGCGATTATGGACTGGTAAATATTTCAGTCGCTTTTTCCCCGCTAGGTTGTTTAGTAGTTTTCAAGGCCCACACATCTTTTTAGTCCTCATGAGGAGGATATCTTATACTGATTTTTAGGATAGGGAAGCATCTGGGAGAATTTGAGTCGCTATTTCTATCCGATCTTGACAACGGAAAAATGGCTGATGAGGGTTCATATTCTGGACTAGAAGGTGTAATACATATACTATCCATGGGTCTACTAAGATTATTTGAATTTCGTCTGAGCATTGTATGAATTGAGCTCCATTTCTTTTCTTATCATTGTTTAGGGGATCTTTGGATGAACTTGGATGGTAGTATATCACCAATCTGTTTGAACATTTTGGCCCTGGCATCTTCGTCCTCAGGGTTGGTTTTATGAGACTATCCCTGCTTTTAGTTACTTTAGAAGTTCTCTCTGACAACTGATGTAACAACAAAGGATCACATTACCTGCAGGTCTTGTTGTCTGCAGATTCTTCCGTCATATTTTCTTTTTCTATCAACTGTAAGTTTTTCATCACTTGAAAGTGGGAGACATTTTCAAGAAACCAGAACAAACCTGATGTTTTCTTTTGCTTACATTCAGGTGGAGAGGTTGACGAATGATGGATCCCTTGCTGGGATTGATGCTCTGCTCGGATGCCCTTTGCACCTTCCTTCTTCCAAGGTGAGAAGTTAGGTTTTCGTCAAGAAACATATCGCTATGTTTCCAATTAGTGGCAAGTTTTTGATCTGCACTCTGACTTCTGCATGACTGTAGAACAAATTTGTTAGGCCTTTATTAAGAAAGTTTGAAATTCTAAACATGATCCCTGAACATTATAGTATTAGGAAAGTCTCTTCTCCATATTTATCCCTGTCTGTAGTGCCCCTCTTTGCTGATTTTTGGTTTATCTTGTCAAATGTGTAAGTACTTTGCTGCAGCTGGATGGCAATCTCTGACAAAGAAGCAGAGAGAAATCCTTTCTCTCTCTTTATATTATGCTGCAAACTGGATACGAGAACTCGTGAGTGACATGACCTTTTATATCTACATCCTTGCTATGCTATACTCGTTTCTATATGTTTTTATATGTTTTTTGTAATCGTTTGCAGCTTAACGCCTTCAGTTCCCAAATTGACAAAAGATTTGGCTGCATTAGTCAGGCTACAGAAAAAGATGTAACAACAAAGCTTCTGAAGCGACTCAGAAATCTAGTGTATGTTCATGCTACTTTGTCACCATTCAAGCTTCATAATGCGCTCCTGTGTTTTATGCTCATGTTTAAGATGTTTTGGGCGTCATAAAGCTTATTATTCATGACGTTCTGACGAAACCAATACTTTGTGAAGCAGATTCTTGGAAAGCTTATTGAGCAATTTGATTATGCTATCTCCCCAGACTCTACCGGAGCTCCACCATTATTCAGCCACAAACCAACATACTCACGTAGGGCATCCAGAGAGAAAAACTGAGAAGAGGAAGCTACATGATAATTCCTCCCAACGCAAGGGAAACATGAAAAATAACTTGAAAAAATCAAAGCACACGAATGTAGATGAAAAGCTGCGACAGCCAACTATTTTGGATGCGTTCAAGAAAGCAGGAGTAGTTACGAGTCAAACGCAGCTACATGAAATTCCTTCTGTTTCATCTCTGGATGGCAAGACGACATCAGTGTCAATGGACGAAACTTGTTCTGATGATGAATCTCTAAGTGTAAAGATTCCTCAAGTTTCTCGGGGACTTGAATCCCAAAGAAATAAGTTCAGGCCTCTTCTTCCTCAATGCCTTTCCATCTTAAAATTTCCAGAGGTCAGCCTAGTGAAACCTTTTTATCTGGCTGAATATTTGTATCTACTAGTCATTTGAATGAAGTCATCACAAATAGTATATATAAATATCCCATGATTTCACATTGAATGTAAGCCTGAGCTTTAGTACATTTTCCTTGGAATTTTAGGAGATATTTGCCCATACCAATCATGGGTGATATAAAGACTTGTTATGGAATGATTTATATTTTTAGCTTTTCACATATAGGTGCGGAGGGAGGACATAGACAGCCCTGAATATAAAGCTGAGGTACCAAAATAAAGACAAAAATATTCTTTTAAACTTCTTCTAGATGTGAGAAGTGCATCTTAACATCTTGTTGTTTTCTATGCTAGCTACCTCTGTATCTGTATCTTTTACAAGATCTTCATTCCAAGCTGGATTGTCTTGTACCTCCTGGTAAACAACTTCCTTTCAAACGTGGAAGTGCGCAACGCAGTTTCGGGACGTTCAAATTGGTTGAACTTGTCAGTCAAATAAAAGGACTTTTTCCAAGCCTCAGGATGCATTTGAATATAGCAGTTTCCTTGCTGATAAAAGGTAAGATAAATGGAGATGATCAACCTGCTGCGAAGTAATTAAAGATATTGATTTAGCTTGTTCTAATATGACCTATAAATAATAATAGGTGATGAAACTTCTCAGACTAGTTGGAGAGATGAGTTTGCTATGGCCGGAAATCCAAACACATCCAATATTGTGGTTTCTGAATCTCTGATTTACACAATGGTGTGCAAAGAAGTTTTATTCTCTTTCAGCAAGGTAACTTATATCATATCTAATGCCAATCTTGTGATATATATGGTTACCACAGTTACGTTACTTGAGTAGTTGTACACTGGTGGCATTTATTTCCTTTTAATCTCATCCCAAACACTTATGTTATTTGACAGATGTTGACCCTCCCTGGGTTTGAAACAGACAAATCACTGCTGCCGAATCTTCTTGAAGCCTTCCAGCACACTGACATACCAGTTGCTAGCTTTCCGGACATTCAACCTTTCCCTTCACCTGGGACAAAAGACCACTTGTATATTGGCGTTTATTGTTTCTTTGAAGATATATTAAATAGCGGTAAATATTTTTTCTTGCCTTACGGATCATTCCTTGTTATATGCTTACTTTGTTCTAACTCCCAATGCGATTGTTAAAATGTTGCTGCAGCTTGTTCCTTCTCCTTTGATCTGGCCTTCGAATGTCTTCTCACTTTACAGTTACTGGTGACCTCTGCTCAAAATTATCTTGGTAAGGTATCTGACGAAGCTACTAAAAAGAGGTCTTCAGGTCGTATTCAGGGTCTTGTACCCAGTCTGCATGCCAAACTGGGAACTTCTGCTGAGAAACTTCTCAGGCATAAATGGATCGATGAAAGTACTGATAATAAGGGTCTGAAGAACAAAGTATGTCCATATGTGACTAATTAAATGGATAGCACAATTTATGGTAGTGCTCAAATAATATGCTCAATGTTTTTAGCTTTTGGTTTCCGCAGGGTGAAATGGTACAGACTATATTACGAATATATCTGGAAGCCAGTGGATCCACATCTGATTTGCTCGATGAGCTTGCTTGTACCATTTTGCCTCAGGTACATGGAAAAATATTTTTCTAGGTTCCACTTTGCAAAAGGTTTGATGCGATATGAAAGCTTTAAAATATAAACGTCCACTTGTGTTATGGTCCGCTGGTCTCATGTTAAATTGATTAACTCGTACATTATGAAGTGGCTATGAATTTCATACACTATAAAAAGGTATGTCATATAAAATCAACTTGGTTTCACGTTTCTGGAATTTGTTTGCATTAGGCCTCTCTATCCAAGCCAACAGGAGAAGATGATGTCCGTGATCACGAATTCCCTACGCTGTGCTCAGCGACTTTCAGGGGATGGTACAAGACATTGGTAAGAAAAATTCTTACATATCTCATATTCTAGTCTCCCGTTAGAGACTAACAGCATCACTTTCTCTGGTCGTTTATGCAGCATGAAGAAAACCTTGCAATTCTCAGTAAACTGGTCAGTAATCCATCTTCGCTTTGTCCGATTCTCCGATTATTACTATCTTCTCTGCCATACAATTTAGGTTCTTACCTTTGTGTTCTACTATGTGTGTCCTTATTAGGTGAAGACTGTTAGCTCAGAGAAACGACAAAACTGTCAACCTGAAGCTACTAGAGCACACTTGAAAAACATTCACAAGACTGTAAATGTGGTAGTGTCTTTAGTCAACTTATGTCGATGTCATGACAAGGTGACCCATTTTCTTTGCTATGTTTCATAAGCATAGACATTGCGTGAAAACTGTCAGATACGAGGCAGATTCATGTAATGCTGATGGTTGTTATAATGACTTAAAACAGGTTACAATCCACGGAATGGCTATAAAGTATGGTGGGAAGTATGTGGACTCGTTTCTAAAAGGTATAATCTCTTACATCTTCTTATCACATTAGAGTAGATTACTTGATTTAAGCTGGCTTGTCAATTTGAGATTTGATATTGGCAAAACAACAAATGTGCAGTTTTTGATTTCTTGGAAGCACATTTTCAAGATCATAACGGACTAGTCATCCAGTTGGTAAGTTGTACATCATGCGTCTTTTCCTTAACTGTTTCTCTCTCAATCCACTGAAATTTCCAAAACTGACATGTATAGGTTAAAGATCTCCAAAAAGCTACAAGAACATTACAGACTCTATGTTCTGAAGCCAAGGTTAGTTTCAGAATCACGTTTGCGTATTTTTTTTTTTGTTTTCCCCTTCTCAGAGACAGAATGAATGACTATGTGAGTTTGTTTTTTTGGGAGGTTTAGGGTATGAAACAAACAGCCATCACCAGCAAAATACCAGCAACAAAGAGATCTTTGGAGCGTTTTCTGTTTCACGTTAAGGCTCTTCTCCATACAACATCACGCGGTTCCAACTTCTGGATGGGTACGACATGACTACACACAAAACCAATTAGTTTTGCTTTCACTCTTTCTCTATCTCTCTCTCCCTTTCGCGTAGCTCACTAATTTTTCTTCCAATGCTTCGAAATCTTAATAAATGTTACAAATCATTATCTATTCAGTAGTATTAAACACTTTATTGAATGCGATTCTTTACTTTGCAGGTAGCTTAAAACACAAGGACTTGAGAGGACAAATAGTGAGTTCTCAGGCTTATGTAGATAACGAAACAGATGAGGTAGAAGAAGAAACCATGTCCGGAGAAGCTCCCATGGAAGAGGATGAACTTCCCTTGTGACCTTTAAGACTGGTAATTATTTTCTACATTAAATCAATTTTTAGTGTCTTAATTTTATTCTTCTATCTATAGTTCGGTGAGGATGAATCTAGAGGAACAAAACTTGTGTTAGTTTCTCGTACCATAATCAATCTCATATATATTAGTTTTTTAATTAGTTTTAGATTGCACTACTTTTTAAAGTCTGTTGGTTATATCCAATTAGTTGAAATCTTGAAGCCATAGGCTTTTGCATAAAACTTGATCACTAAACAATTTACATAGCAATTATAAATCCCAACATTATTCTAATCTTTGACGAATGACCAAATTATATTATCAACAAGGATGACCAAAAAAATAAAATAAAAATGTGAAAGCTTGCTATGAAGATATATGAAGAAAAAAGTACATTGGTAGTGATTGATGAGAAGACAAAAAATTTAAAAAGAGCCGTGTCAGGTAACAAGTACATGCAAACTGAACTTCAAGTCAAAATAAAATTTGATAAAATTTAGACAAACATGAAACACCTCATTACTTTTGGCTAGGTACAATGTACATGTCTTTTTCGTTTTATTAAACGAAGATAGAGTGCAAAGAAATAAGAGACAGCTAAAGTTGCACGTGGCATGTGAGCAGTTTGCAAACTCTAAAAAGACATGCTTCACGTGTCTTAATTCCTACCACTTTATCTAACCATGTGCTCGATTGAACTACGAATTTCTTTCTCTTTTTTGTTTTGGCTATGAAGAACTCGGAATTTCTAAAACTATCAGTCCGTCTACGTACAATTGTCCCTTTATTTTCGTGGGGTTAAAAGCTATTTTATCAACCAAGAAAAAGTAATCAAAATTAGAAACAAAAATTATAAGTCAAAATTAGAACAAAATCATAGGAGCTTATGCTTTAGTAATAAAAGGATTGCGTAAGCTTTAAGAATAAGTTTCAAGTTTCAACTTCTTAAAATTACAGAAGTATACATTCAACTAACAACGACCAAATTGGAGGTTCAAGACATGATCCAATAGAAACAACATTTTTGAAAAAAGATTATGCGTTCCTTATTATTACAATGCACATAATTTCAAACAGACCCACAAAGATGCTAAGACAACAAAAAGCCTTCTTAGCTACCATCACCATTCTTCTTCATTCACCATCAGTCTGTACAGAGTCACAAACACAAGTCTCCTTCCAAACTCCTAAAAACCCTAATGAGTCCTACAAATAGGAGTTTTCATCACAGAGCACCAAAAAATACAGCTCTCTCCCCGGATTTTCATTTCTTTCTCCTTTCCGGTTTTACCAACTCCCCACTTTCAATCTTTCTTTCCCCACCAGAAGGATTAAGGATTATGAAGTTTAAAGAGAACTAAAACACACAATCTATTTAAAATAAAAAAACATGTATCACCTGAGCCTTGTGAAAGATTCCTACACCAGCTACTTCACAAGTTTTCCATGCCCCGGACTCTTTAATCCATATGACCTCACAGTTTGTTTCCTATATGGTTCAACTTAACCCCTCACAGATTCAGAGCTGATCTGACCACCCCTTGCACGTGTCGCTGCCTCGCTAACCGGTGATGCTTTACGACCAAAGTTCAGTAAAAAATTCCGCTGGTCTTCATTTGTATGACGCAGACTCGCACGTAAAAGCTCAGCAGGCATTTCCCTCTTTATAGCCAACACATCAGCTGCATTGTCCTGGTTTTGACCATGGATCGTCTCATACTTGCTCCTGCAATATTTGGTAAGAAGTGAGAAGAACTCATCAAACGAGGCTCTCCAGAGTCCATCGTTGGAGCTCCCATGGTTGACACGTGGAACCCCAACCACTACTTCAGCAGCTCTCTCGAGAAGAGATACCAATACAACCGATGCTCCATCACCGGAAGGGCTTCCTATTGGACGGAGAGGTGGCTGCTCCGAAGAACAAACCACAGCTGCAAGACAAGCACTCAGTGCTCGGAGATCCATTGCTTGGACGCAAACCGTAACTGCTTTGGCAAGATTAGATATTGTCTCTGCTGCAACGCTGTCTGACGGTAAGCCACCAAACAGAAACCTGAGGTGGCGGAACACAGCCATACAGACAACGCGAGCAATCTCAGAACCGGGAACGAGAAGTTGTAGATACTTTGTGAGCAGTTTCCTACCCTTGGGAAGAGTCGCTATGCGTAGAAAGACTATATCATCCTTGGCGGTCAAACCAGTTTTCTGGCCGGTTTTGCTGAAGGGATCAACAAGTTGAAGCGATGTTGCTAAACCTTCTAGCAAAATCTGCCGTTTTCTCCTGAGCAGAGCACCTGCGTCTTGTGGCCGGTTGAATTGGAGAGTCCTATCAATGTCAACTATGTCAATAAGAACTCCAAAAGCATCTTCAATTGTGACCCTAGCTGCAACAAGAGGTTCTTGCTCTAGATGCTTCTCAGATCCCTCATGATTAGGAGGAGAGTCAACCTCGAGTAAGGCTCGTGGCCTGCAAATAGAAGGAAGAGTAATCTTTCCAAGAGCATCCACGTGAACTTGTGGTTGCTGCTGATCTGAACCATTACGTGACCGAGAAGAAGATTGGTGGTCCTTGAGATGAGAAGGATAGAATTGAGTCTTTGCTCTAGACCCGGCAAGCTTTTTGGCAAGCCGGGCTTGGTGGTAATAGTCATTGACATATGGGTCGTTGCTGTGTGAATTGGAATGCTGCATCTTGAGAATGCTCTCTATCTCTTCTGACGTCATGCACTTTGATCTAAACTGCAACCCGGTCTCGCTTTTCTGGCTAGACAAATCCGAAGCCTGTTGGGATATGCCTCTGTTCTTTCGGCTTCTATGAGATGACTTGTGTTTGTGTTCCCTTACTTCACCAGCACCAAAAGGAGCTTTATGTGATGGTGAAGGATACGAACTATACAGCTGAGATTGTAATGCAGCAAGGTGAGCTAGAGACTGTCTCTGCTGAAGAGAGATCAACTGTTGTGAAGTGAAACCATTCCGAGGAGGCAACTGAAGTTGCTGCTGCACCAGACTGTGTAATAAACCGGAATGGTCCCCGTGCAGAAGGCCGGGGTCAGTGACCCAGTGAGGAGGTTGCACCATGTTACCAAGAGTAGGACCACATGAGGCATACCTAGCCAAGTTACTACCATAATGAGGCGGTCCATGTGACGACAAACCCGGAAGAAGGAGAGTAGAGTTTGAGAGAGGAGAGACGTTTGGAGCAGAGAAGGTCAGCTGACTACCACCAGGGAGAGAAGGAGCACGATGAATATGGCTCGGTGAAGATAGTTGAGATCTGTTGCTGCCAGGTGAAGGGAAAGACGTGAACGTCGATTCCGGTACAATGATCGGCTCGCTATTATAATGCTGCAGCTGTGTCTGCTGCTGAGGATATGAAGATGTCCTGTACAAAGGTTTTGAGTTAGCAGATGATTGTGGCTGCGAAGGCCAGGTAGCTTCTTGAGCTTGTTCTTCAAGCATGTGCTGGTCCAACCAGCTTGTGAACTCATTATCTTGTGTCCAATCTGTAGCAGTCGAACCTGGAGATAAAAAGTGCTGTTAGAAATGGTGATAACAGAAGTAATTCTGAGGTTTCCAAAGAAAAGCACAGAAGAACAAGAAAGAAACTCAGCTACAGAGAATCTTGAAGTTTGACAGTAAACAGAGTTGGGAAATTAAACTCACTTTCCCTTGAAAAGGAACCTGATCCTCTGACACCAATTACTCCAGGGTGTTTGGGCCCTGTTACAACTCTGTTCAGCTGCACAACATCAAACACCAACAGCAAAATTAGTAAGAATAAGCAGCTGATAAAGCCATATGAAAAACAAAACAAATGCTGCTTAGCGTCATGATTGTAATCATAAACAAAATTCTAACCTTTGCAAAAGTTGTTGCAAGATCATCCATGTCAGATAATGATCCTAAAGCTGCACCCTGAAACCAGAAGTAGATTTTTCATCATTAATACCCATTAATCTCATACATATAAATCCAAGAACTTAGTTCAACTGAGAAAAAATAATAATAATAATGAAGCATTACCTCTCTTTTATCAAACAAGTGATACTCTTCATCATCGGCATGTCCAAGAAGAGCAGCATCATCGTCAAGACCTCCCAATTCCACTTCTTCAAGACTTTGACCAAAGAACTCATATTGAGATGCGTCAAAGAGTGTACTATTATTAATATTATCTGCACAAGAAAATAAGATCCAGTTTCATCAGACACATGAGAGCTAAGTTATGTCCCCAGGACAAATTCTTTGCCCAAACTTGAACCTCTGTGTACAAATCTCAAAGCTTGGTAAAAAAAAGTAGATCCTTTTATTCTACGTTACTGCAAATCTTGAAAAAAAATCGAATCAAACATGATTCAAAACCAAAACAGAACATAGTAAAGCATAAACCATCTCTCCTCTTTGAGTTGAAACGAAGACTATGTTCTTTAAAACTTTTTAACAAACTCATAAGCAACTCAAATCATTCAAATCTCAGATTAGAAAAGAAGAAAGAAATACTTAGCAGCTGAACCAGAAACGAAACAACTTATATTACTCGATTTGAAAACACAAGAAAGTAACTGACCTGAGGAAGCCCGAGCTAAGCTGTAGAGATCTCTAGAATCAGATCTCTCCATGATCAACGCAAGAAAAAAATAAGAGGTCTCGAACTAACAAAAGCTTCACAAATCAAGACGAAGACCGCTTTAAAAAATCCAGCGAATAAACAATCGAATCTTCCTCTAGCCACTAGCTCTAGAGGGTTGATATTGCTTGTCAACAAGATGACAGCTAAACAAAAGAAAAATGAAAGGAAAGTAAAAAAATCAGCTCAGATTCCTAGGGTTCCCAGATTTTCCGGGGAAATTGAAGAAAAAAAAGTTTCATCGGAAAGTCGGAGGAAACCTCTCTCCCTAGAGAAGAGAAGAGAAGAGAAAGAGAAGAGATTAGAGAGAAGAAAGAGAAAAGAAGAGTCTTTTTATTTTGTTCTGTGCGTAACATTGACACATGGATCTTGCCCGAACAAATCTTCACTCTTCTTTTTTTTGTTATGTTAAATAAAAATATATACTCGCAATTTGTTTTTTTTTTTGTCATCAAATAATTTCTTTATTCTGTTGACATAAAAATCAAGTAAAATATTCTACTTTCCGATTTTTTTTTCTTAACTTTCCATCAACATAATATTGACAAACAAAAATAATATATATCTATTTTGAGATATAAACTGGTAAGCCAAGTGGATACATACATGTCAATATGTCATCTAAATATATCTTTGTTTACTTGTGTAACTGTTTTGGATAACTTTGAATTTTTTGTTTTGGTCCATAACACATCCACTAACTATAATATAGTATATATTTGATTCCAATTATTTTTTTCTCCTTAACTTTATGGCATGACTTGTTTAAATTCAACTTAAAAATGTTAGTTATAAAACATTTAATGCATAGAATTAACAAAAAATAAAAATAAATGTGTGTACAGATAGATTAAAAATAAATCAAGGCAAATTATATGGTCTATGTGAATTTCATCCGGTCAGTTAAATTTGAACTATTGTGAACACTTATTATACACAACTCAAATGGTCTATTTTTTTTTTTGTATAGACAAGATTACTCGGTTTCTGCCAAAGTAAGTTTTAAATTGATATATTAAAATTTGTAAATTGTATGAACTTCAGAGTCCATATTATTGATTAGCAACCAGTTTCTTTTCTGCAAACACGATCAATTGTCATAATCGCATTCACAAAAGTTCCTCCCATCATCACATGTCTCCTCGAGTTCATTTAGCTTGAACTTATGAGGACCAGTATTTTTTAGAAAAAAAGCAGCATCATATGAGAGCATCAAACAATTAAGCAAGTTTGCTAGGGACAAAACATATTGTAACCCAAGAAAATGAAGGTTTAATAGTTAACTTTCCACTTGCAAATGCATAATGATGCATATAAACTTGTTTTGACCGTATTTTAGTAGTATCCTGTTAAGATAATATTGGAATCAGAATAAGTTTCTTCAAGCATTAATTTTTTTTTGATGTTTTAAGAGTTGAACATCAACGATAGGAAAAATTAAAGAGTAATCCATAATATATCGTAGTTTGGTCATATCTATCATGCCATCAATGACATTAATCTGCATAGAAGACAATCGTTATGAAAAGTAAGATTTAAAAGTTAAGTTGAAAACTAACTAAAAAACAAATAAGGAATTAAATTAAGAATAATCAAAATGAATTTCAAGGAAAGAGAAAAAAAACTTCAGCTGGATGAAAATCTGGAGAAACTTGACCAGAGTAACGACCAAACCCAACAGATTAATGACTAAATTCTCTCCATGGATAGTGATACCGCCGTATTGGTTATAATCTTGGTTATAGATCAGTATTATCTCTTTGGTAACATTGATCGTCGTTGTAGGTGCTTCAAGTTCATTACCTTAAACGATCCAATATGTCGAAGTGACCATCAAAGATTATGTAAGAAAGTTTCGATCTCCTAACAATATTTATTGTTTTTATACTAAAGTTTGGATTTAATGGCCATAACAGACTTTGTTGCTAATTTTCAAAATTTTCATTATAAAGAATAGAAAAATAATTATTTATTGAAACATATGTTTAAAAAATGAATGAAAATGGGAAGGGCATGATGCATTATGACTATGACCTCACTGGTATTGGCAAGAACAGGATGAGGCCTTGGAGGGGGGGGGGGTATATAACGACTGATCGTGGCTGGATCAGTTGAAAGAAAATGTCTATTACATGATCTTTGATTACAAATAAGGTTTCATATAACACAATATCTAATTATCTTGAGACGGTTGTTGTGGAGTTTGTGTTTCTTAAACTATTTTCTGCTTTAAATCTCCATACTCGTTTTTTTTTGGGTTTTGTGTATCTTACAATTCTAGAATTGATGTTACGTTTTGTTAAAAACATGTATATATATTATAAATCACTAAACTCTACTATATAATTTGTAATTTTCATCCACTAAAACTTTTTTTAAAAAAGCTACTTATTAGAAATCGAATGCATAGATATTAACAAAAAAAATTAATGTATAAAAAGAGAAAAAAAAAACATATAAGTAACTGCATAAAAAAAATTATATGGTCCATGTGAATGGATTTCATCCAATCGGTTCAGTTTGATCTCATTTTGGCATTTATTGTACACAATTCAAATGGCCTGTTAGATATATATGTATATATATATATATATTGTACACAACTCAAATAGCCTGTTATATATATTTACTAGGTTATGATGTACTCTATCTCGACCAACTTAAATTTTAAATTCGTATATTATAATTTGTAAACATGAATTTCAGAAACCATTATTGGTGGTATACTTCGCACTCTCGGTTTAACCCGATATAAACTGAAACCAGTGTAGAAAGACCTCAGTTTATAATGATTGGTATTTAGGTTGAATCACGTAAGTTGGCCAAAGTCTTTCTAGGAAACCCATTAAAGTTCAGTTCCGCAAATCGGCACTTTCTAGACCTATTAATCAACTATGTAAAGCCCAATTAAAATGAGTCTAATTATACGGCCCAACATAAGGCTTTTCCACTTAGCTAAGGTTTCTTATTTTTGGTTCTCTCTTCTATTGAATCAATCACTTGAAGGTCATTTTAGCAGAGAGAGAGAGAGAGAGAGAGAGAGAGAGAGAGAGAGAGAGAGAGAGAGAGAGAGGAAAATCGGAGGAGAGGGATCAATTTGATCTCATTTGAATGGAAGATAAAACCTGATTTTGACCACTTTTCACCATTGATTTCCAAAATGCTTACTTAGTTTTAGGAATTTTTATTATGATTTCCATGTATTTGTAATTGTAGTTTCAAGACTCTTTTCAGAAAACTTAGGGAAGATGATGGCAAAATAGAAGAAATCCACATTTTAGCTCAGAGTCAGACCGTCAGAAATTCAGCCTCAAATGAAGACTTTCTCACCGTCCGATACAACTCAAATTTGAAGACCATCAAGAGTAGACAACCAGCTTTCCATAGCATTTTACATCACAAAGATCCAACGGTGCAATCAAAAGATATATGGAGAACAAGTTGACCCAATTCACCAGTCCCGGAAGAATCTCACCCGCGGCAAAAACATGTTTTACCTGCCTTGGAAGACTCTCACCCCGGGTGGACCTTAGGACAAGCCACAAGGCCCAACATGAAAGCCCACTTTGCCATTTCTCTTCAGAGAAGCCCTAAATGAGATATGGAAGACCTTAGGACCTATAAATACATTCTTTAGCAGCCCTAAACGGGGGTGTGCTCCTGTAATGAGATTTTGAGCCACCAAACTTTGTTTTTCTAGGGTTAGACGATGGAGATGGGGATTTTTCCCCATATCCATTGTTCTTCATCCTTTTTATCTAATTAACTTTTCTGTTTCATTCTTTTGCATTCTTATATGTCTTTCATCATTCATTGCAACATGTAGATTAGTCCTAGAGAGTCAAGTTGTTTGAAGATATCGACAAGCATATATATCGATTAGGATTTATATTGTTCTTAGCCATATTCTGGATCTCATCTCTTCTAAGTTATCTGTAAAGCATGAAAGTAGATTCATGACCTATTCTCTGAGCCTAGGATCGATCAGAGCCACGAGAGAGCTGTATCAGATCATCCATACCTAGCTTCAGAAGAACATAGTCGCTATAGGAGTCGAAAGCTACCTATAGAGAAGATGTGAGCAGACGAATTCAATGTTCACTGCATGATCTTAAGTTTAGCATGAGAGCGAGAGTAAATTGCTAGATCTAAGAAATTAGTTGATTAAGGTGACGACAATTGGTTAATCATGCATGTGTCTATTCTAGTTCAATGCTGATTCCCAGAAACAGATGAAGATAAATCACCCGGAAGCTAATTGGAAATGCCACCATACATCGATTAGAGTAAACCGGAGAAGTCTAAATCGCCGCCTATGAGTTTAAGAGTCTTTAGTTTGAGTCGATATGCTTTAGATATATTTTTTAACAATTCATCCTGCATTGCATCTCTTGTGAATACTAGATTAGGTTTAGTTTAGGATCTTAACCAAAAACCCCAAATCTTTTATTGGTTTATGAGTTTGCTTACTTCCTAGTTTGTTGTTTCTTGCCGATTAGACATCCTTGCTGTGGATCGACACCCTAAGTTCTACAACGTACATATGTGCATTTCGCAGACACTAGGGTTTTATAAATTTAAAATTTTTGGAGGACCAACGGGCTTGTTAAAAAACAACCCTAGGCCCGCAAGCCCATCAAGTTTTTGGCGCCGTTTCCAGGGAGGCATGAAGTCGCTGGAGGTCTAAACCTGGGAGGTTGAAGCCGCAAACGACTATATATATATCGAGTTTCTGCCAAAGCAACATAGGAAGTAAACCAAATTCATAAACACCCTAAATTTTTCTTTTTGTGCTTATTCTTTCTTCTGTTTGCCCTAGTTTCAGAAACCTTTGAGGCATGGATCATCCAAGAAGAAACCCTAACCCCGAGCGAAGGTCATGCGACCTGTGTAAAGCTCCCTGCGCATGTGAATCACCCTCTAGGCGTGATTTTGATCATCATCTTCGGAACTCTAATCCTAACCACCACCATGGAGACTGGCGACCTCTACACCACCGAGATGAGCCCTATTTGCCACACCTAGTGAACCGTCGACCATCTCATCCTCTTCCTCATCAGATTCTGCACCAGAACTATGAGAACAATCGACTTAACATCCTGATTAATCGATTGGAAGCCAAGCTGAATCAGATCCTTGCCTCCCAAGCCCTCATCGATGCTGCCCTGCGAACACGGATAGATGACGTGATCATCGGCCTTGACAAAAGGTTTGATTAACTCTGTGAGCATGTGAAGACACTGGAGGATCAGAGAACCAAAGCTAATGACGTGTTGGATCAGAGAATAGAGTCTGTCAGGGAAGAACAAGACAAAAACAAGTTCAACATTCGTCAAAACGAAAGGGAGCTGCAAACCCTAACCTTTAAGATCGATG